TGTAAACAATCACTAAAACTTGCCAAGACCTTTTAAACAAAAACCAAAACTAACTGTCATAAGTTGTGTAAACTGTATAAAGTTCTGTAAACAAACAATACGACTGTCCAAAGTCGTTCATACAAACGTCACAACTGTCTAAAGTTGTTTCAACAAACACTACAAAATATGTTTTAAAAATCTACAACTGTCCAAATAGGTGTAAACAAACTCTACGACTGCGTAAAGTTGTGTAAAAATAACTACAACTGTCCTAGGTTTAGTAAATTTCGTTTACAAAAATAACATCTTTAAGCGGGACAACTTTTATCTTAAAAACATGTGTTATTGCACGAAATCATTTTACACACGCGATACCTAAAACTATGTAACGCAGGGAAAATGTTACAAATTCCCTGTTAGATAGGAAGTTTGCAAAAAAGGTTGATTCTTGCAAAAACCCATGAAAATATGAGTGAAAAAGAGATTAATTGTCTCTGGATATGTAAACGAAACACGACCTTAAAACTCCCCTATTGTAAAACGCAAATAATAATTACTCTAGATTACATTACGTGTCGATCAAGTAATCGTCAACACTTATTCATTACCCACGAAAATGAAGTGTCAAGAAGACAAGGTGACAGCTTGACAAAGAGACAAATTGGCGGGGATATAACTTGACGATGATACAACTTGACGCGGACGTTAAAAGCCAATCTGACGGAACCGTGCCCGTCAAGTAGTCACACGAGAATTAACTGCATGTGCATATTCCTCCCCGGTACCCTCTTAGATAACCCCTTAGAATAATATTGAATTTGATCGTCAGCTAGTTTCGTAAACATTAAACTGTCAAAAAACTTGCGTATGTAAACTAAACCCACTCAACTACTCTGAACTTAATATACTTTACAACTAGACTATAAATTTCGTATATCAACATTTAAATCAATAAAGTCAGGTTTTCCCCAAGTTCTTCAGCTTTCGTCTTAACTGATATCTTGACTACAACTGTCAATTGAGTTTTTATACAACAGGACAGTTTATCCCTGCGGGAAATATCTTTGTAAACAGATGTGTAAAAACAAAATAATTAGCAGGCTAAGACTTTCCGTTCGGCTGTTATTTACAGAATCCACAAACGATATAGTGAAACCACCATAAGTTTAGGTGGGGATTTCATTTTTACTTTCCATTCTTCCATTTTGAGTTCTAAGTAGTAAGATTTTCTATTTATTTCTTAAATACTTCCTGTATACATGAAACTTGTAGGGGCATGAAAAGGCTTCCATAGTCTCTGACTTGTTATGTAAGACATAAAACTCTAAAACAAAATGTCATCGTGGTCTAAAAATTAATTAGTTTTATCACTTTCAAACAGATATTTTCGAGTTTTAGCACTGATTAACTAATGGAGCTCACTTAATGTCCTGGCGATTCCCTAAAAATCTGTACAATGGGTGAACTCCAGTGTGAGTGTGGATTGTTATATAACCACATTTTCTACCATTCAAGAAATAAATCCTGGTACACCAACATTTTAAAAAGTTTAACAACTTTTAACGATTTCACCTTCCGTCGTAATTAATACAATACTGTATCTCCACATAAACAGGATCTTAAAAGTTTATTAATTTCAAAGATGAGCGGCCAGTTTAGTAGTGGTTAGAGGGACGATTTCTGTGTTGAAGGTCAAAATCCAAATCATGCCAATCAATTGGTATTTTGCCATAAATTGCTTGACAATCTCCCGACAAACAAAGTAAGTTTGGACCAACTATATTTGTAGATCAGTTGACTAGAAACCCGATAAGGATGGTTCTTTCGAGTGAAGCTGTATTTGTCTTCGATATACATCTTCGTGAAATGTTATAGAACCTATTCAATCCCTAATAATGCAGTTAGAGCCTAGGCGACAACAAAGCACAGCGATAGAATGAAGGAAACAGTTCATCAGGATGTCCCGAGTTCAACTGCAGAGAAACCTGTCGTACGTCACCTTGGACCTTAGATCGTGGATGGCTACGAGGTTTATACGTAGAGGGCGGAAGCGTAAGTCCAGAAGCCTAGAGAGCCAATGGTCAACGCCTTGACGTCTTGATCCTTGCTCGTCCTTGTGAGTCTCGCAGTAGATTCTCTAGAGCAAGATCCTCGATAGTTCCTCATTACTCAATTCACTTTATGAATAGCGTTTTAGCATGAAATATCCAAAACGATACTTTGTTAAAAAATAGTATTAATATAGTAAAAATTGAAGACGATATTGTTTCAAATTGGTCTGAAAAAATATATTGGTATATAATGTTGAGAATAAATAACTAAATATAAATAAATCTGTATTGTCACATAACGTTTAAATATAGCAATGCTGTAAAACAGGTAACATTGTCAAAATACAAATACCTTAAGACTAAGGAGTTATAAAAGACTAAAAGAAACTAAAACTATAAAAAATATAAGTGGTATAAACAAAATGTATCAGTTAAAAAAATTAGTCAAAACAAATTTATTTTTTCGCAACCTGATCAGTTAAGAACTCATCTATACTGTAATAGGGGTTTCTTAACAGAAAATTAGCAAGGCTGCTTTTGAAATGCTTGGACTGTATTTTGTTCTTTAACTCTTGAGTCAGTTTATTAAATAGTTTTTTGCCCATGTATGTCGGGGTTTTTTCTACTAATGAAAGACCATGCCGCGGATATTGAAAGTTAGTTTTAAACCTAGTATCATACCTATGCTCAACGTTTTCACTACATCATTTTTCAAAATTTCCTTCTACCATCAAGTGTTGTTAAAATTGTTAAACTCGGAACAGTCATTACTCCTAATTCTTAAAAAATTTGCTTACATGATGTTCTCCATGGTGCAAATGTCATTATTCTTAAACATTTTTTTCTGAATCTTAATAATTAAATCAATGTTTGATGCAAAGCCCCAGAATTCAATTCCATATTGAAGAATTGAATATAAATATGTGAACTTTTCGTTTTGTGATTATCCTGGAGACATGTAATTGTAGGCTACATTGCAGTAATCATATTTATTAGTATAACAAATCCTAAAAACTACCAGATACAGGTTAATATTCGGGAAGTAGGCTACATTCTCAAAGTATCATCTTAAATATATTCTTATTTCCAATGACCATAACTATTAGGAAAATTTAAAATAAGTAATCCGTCGCCAATTTATAATAATGTTTTATAACAAACAGGTCTGTAGGCTACTTAATTTGTAACCACTTTTTGTAGGTTTTTGCGTCCTGATCACAATTTAAATTATTACTAGAGGTTTTAAATTACCTTAATCCGTCATGTGATACATGTCACCGGTCACCGCTCAACGGTGACATTGATCACATTTTAACTTCTAATAATAATTTAATTTGTAAGACCTTAGCTACAAGTTGGACAACTAAAACCCTATCTGTGTACATTTTACTCCTTAAAGGAGATATTAGCGAATTTCCCTTATAGGGAATAAGCTATTACCGTAGATCTCATGGTAAGACCTAGATCCGGTACCGATTTACTTTTTTGTTTTGAGGTACCCAGAGGCCAAAAACACCCATTTATTTATATATATATATATATATATATATATGTGTGTGTGTGTGTGTCCGTTAGTGATAACTCGAGCAAAAATGGTCAGATTTTTACGATTTTTTTTACAAACGTGTAAACCTACGTTTATTCGAACAAGTTCGCGAACCAGCATGATCGAGCTATGGAAACGGGGTTTATGGGGGGTTTTTATGGGGTAAAAATTGGGTTTTCCCATTTTCGAACCTAAAAATACAAAATTTCGCCATTTCTTTCCAAACCACTTTGTAGAGATAAAAAAAAAATATTGAAGCATTGATGTATGCCCAACGATTACAGAGATAATTCAAAAATTGTAAATTTAAATTCTCATCTTATTCTTATTGACAATAAATAAACTGTTGTACTGTAGTTTGCTTGTTTATGGATATATTTTAATCAAATTTGGCAATTTTGTTTATTTAATACTAAGCTATCAACTTTTCAATTAAAATACACCTCAATACCTTTCCCTGTAGCAGCAAACCTAAGTACTCATTAAAATTAATGTTATTTAAATTGGAAATAAATCTGATAATTTTAAGGGAATATTTTAGTAGAAATCCAGCAAGGAAAATGGAAATTCGCTTAGTCTGCAGGTTTGCTGCGGCGGGGGTATTTTTTAAACCAGACTGCAACAGCTAAAATAAAAGAAAACTGTTACTTAAACAGCAATAGCAATCGATTCACGCGGATTATCAACTTTGCAGAATCGAGGCAGTAATTAACTATTCATACAATACAACAATAGCTAGGAACTGTATGGAAATGCATAAAAGATGGGTGACTGTGATTTAGCGGTGGTGAACTGGTAGTTTCGGTAGTTTGCCGTCGGAGTACGTATGGATACAGTGTGTTGTTATTGTTGGGGTGGCGGAGGCTCAGAAGTTGAGTGATTGAGGTCAACAAACGAACAACTTTGTTTTGATGAGTCAGCTGTCACTGCGGCATGACCATTGAACAAGACTCGCGATCAGGTGCCAAAATATTTGCCAACAATCTTTGTATTGTATAAACAGTTTCCCAGTTTACTATTTTGGTTGGAGATTCCAACAGTATTTTCCTTGTGTAGTTTTTATCAGTAAAACACGAATTTCTCATGGAAAAGAAAGCGGTAACGGATGGATTATTTTTATAATCTACCTTTCGTTGAGTACTGTATTTTTGTATGAATATTTTTTATATGTAGGCCTATCCTATTTAGCTAAAATTATTATTCTAATTACTATGGTGTTTTATTTATTTTTGACTTAATTAATAACCTTGGTGTTTAAAGGATCTATTGTCCAAATCACTGCCCTAGTAATGAATCTAAATTACATATTCTTATTATTTTCAGCCTTAATTTGAACCACTGCTACAACAATGTTATTTATTTGGTGGAAGAAAGCTAGCGTTCTCATTCCATCTTATATTATTCTACTTGTTTGGTTGCAGGGGTGTTCCTGACTATGGTGTTAGGATTGTTCGCTCTCACATTTGGTTCTCTTTTGATCGTCATTGATCCTTACGACATTATTTTCAAAATGGTAAGTCATTTTTGATTATTTTTAATTCTAATAATGGTAATAGACTTTATACTATATACATCTTGAATAATAGATACTTTAAAATCACATTTAAAAAATTAAAAATAAAATCATACAGGGTGTCTTGCAAAAAGGTTTTAAAAATAGGAATGGTTATTGGGTGAAAATAAAACGAAAACCAAGAATAAATATTTTTTCAAAAATGCCTGGTTAGCGAGATATTCACCATTTTGTTTTCAATGTATGTATATATTAAAACAATTTAGAGATATCTTTATGCAATTTGGTACACTATTGTATCAGTTCATAATTTGTTTTAGAAAAAATTATTTAAAAAAAATGGTTTAAAAATGATGGCAATTTTTATATTTATATCTTAAATTACTAAAATATTGCTGATTTGATGAAAAATTCCATGAAAACTTTTATTTAGCATAAACCACAAAAATTAAGATAACATGTAAATTATTTCAAACAATAATTTACGTTTTATGCCATAAAGAATGCATTTATGTCCTGAAGCAATTAGTAATGGTTAAATTAACAAGCCTTAAATGATGATCTATAAGACCCTTCAGTTTTATTTTGCTACTTTCAAGTTACTTAAATTAATAGCATGACAGTGTTTAAATCTGATTTTCTTATTACCATACATTTCCTAATGTTTTAAGATTTTACTGAATTTAGTTTTTCATTTTTTTTTTATTTTAAAACTTTTCTTGGATTTCAGTTTTCAGGTATTTCTTGAATATTGTGCTCAGTTTAAAAAAAAAACTCAATTTCATCGATTCAGCTCTTATCTTGTTCAGCTGTTTGTGGATAGCTGCATTTGTTTTGTATGTATTTTCAGTCTGCCAAAATAAATTATTCAATTTAAACTGCCAGTCCTCATTTAAATTTTTCAAAAATTTCCTTTAATTTTTTTTAAACCTAGTAAAATTTAGATTTCCCTCTCACTATTTAAGGCCCTAAGCTATTACATTTCAGATAGCTTCTTTCTGCTGACTGAAAACCTCATAGAAAAGAGGGCATTCATTGAATACATGATTAATAGTCTGGAATGTTCTTCTGAAACGCTTCAACTTCATAGCAGATAGTCTCATTCCCCATGCCAACCACTTATATCCTACAGCTATTGCTCATGAGCAAAATACACTGTTAAAACCTCACTCATATTTGATAATATTGGGAAAATAATTTGCTCACGAAGAAATGTATTTACAATTTTCCAGAAAGTTCGAATGAGTGAAGGCTCAGAGACATTCGAGATGTGGAAGAAACCTCCCATTAAGCTGGTCCTGAAAGTGTACTTGTTTAATGTAACCAACCAAGATGAGTACATGAGCGGCAAAGACGAAAAACTCAAGTTCGAGCAAGTCGGCCCTTACGCCTACAGGTTCGTACTTTAGAGAGCTCATAGTCGTAGATGGTATCACATCTTTTATGTTTCTGGAATGTTGTGCATGAAAAATCATGAAAAAATCATTTATTTCTGTGATTCTGGAACTTTTACGCTTAGTTGTAGTTGAAAATGTTCAATCTAGGAATGTTTATTAGTTTTGATTTTTGGTGATCGCTTTAGGGGTTGCACACACTATTATTCTCAAGATGGCAGAAAGGAACCTGTCCTAGCACCCCTATTCCATTGGTCCTAAGTTTGTTGCAAAAGTTTTTAAATCTTAACATTTATTGTGAGGTATTGATAATTTTCAAACTGAAATCATTAAATAACGGTGTGTTTTCGTTGAGACGTCAACATTTAACCAACAATACCCTGAGTGACCAACCATTACCTTAGATTATGTTTTAAAGGAAGCACAACTAAATGCCTATGTTTAATGACCATCTTCTTTGTGGTAATTAATCTAATGTATGCCCAAAACCACATCAGGGAATCATTTTAATGTTAAATTATTATGACTGGAATCCTAACCTGAGATATTGTTGACAGCGAAGACATGTCGCATGGCAATGTGTCATTCAATGCTAATGGCACCATGAATGCCATTCCCTTGCATCCCCTCACATGGCTCCCAGAACTGAGCAACGGGACTGAGGAAGACTTGCTCATCTTGCCGAACATCGCCCTCTTGGTAAGAACAAATATTTATCTGTAATTTCTTAACATACTGGTAGCTCTGATATTGACATAACAATTTGTGAGACAGTTAAAATAAAAACAGGGTGAGGCAGTGAGAGCACCCCAATTTTCTTTTGTTGTCACACTATAAGTAAAGCAACAATGAATGAACAGCTGTGCTTATAACATAAATTAAACTATGCCATTTTAGTAAATATTATGCCTGAGGCTATTAAATCTGAGATTTTGATGTGGAAACCTATTTTAAAATAGTGATTCTTGTGCAAAAACCCAGAGATTGTTTGGACCACATTCCATCCTTGGTCAACATGGCGCTGTTCCAGATTGGAAAACAATGGTGAATTGGATCAAATTATTTAGGATTAATCCTTGAACCTAAAAATAATCTGTCGGTACCGCAAAACTCTTTGTACACCAGCAAATGTTGAAAGAGTGCGAGTCGCAGTAACTTAAAGTCCAAAGAGATTTGCCAGGAAGCTTTTGTTGTTGAAAGCTTTACGTTTGCTCCTCTTTTTTTTTTGGGGGGGGGGGTATTCTAACAAGCTACTTGTAGTTTAGGTATTTCAAAGTCACCCAACATATTTGATTGAAGCGAAGCTAAGAATTGTCCCAAAACTAATGTGATTCCTGAATAAATGCTGGAATGGGGTTTTCAAGTGACTAAACAGGAATGTCAAGTAGGACAAGGACGTCAATAGCAGGATTTTTTTTTAAGAAAAGGAAAAATGACTCTGTTAAGTTAAAATTGCAAAAGATAAGCTGTGTTTTGATGTGCTATTTATATCGATAGGGCGAATATTATTGAGTTTGTACTACTTATAAATTGGGGCGCTTTCATTGCCCCACCCTATACTATTTGTATGGATGCATTCCTTTTTGTTATTGTTTTTAGGGACTTTTTTTATAAAAGTAAAATTCACAATGAACTAACTATGACGGTTTTAATCAAGTCTAATGATTACGTTACTGAATTAGTTTGGTGTAGCTGTCAAACTGTTGTGAGAATCTCAGGGGTTTGAGGGTGTGGAAATACATTAAAGTTGGACTTAACAAGTTAAGCTGGGATAATGTATGTTTTGGATTTGGAAACTATTCTCTGAGGATATGAGAGCATCAATTCCGTTCTTCACAGACCACAACATTTCATAAATAGAGCACTACTTGGCTAGGTCCCCTAATATACACATCAGGCATAAGGCACAATAAAAAGCTACTTGTATTGATGATTCTTTGCTGACATTTTCACACAAAAAACTGTTTACTCGCCAACTCGTTATCATAAACTTACCAATGTACTACAGATGTGTAATCAATGGTACTACTAAGGATGTTTTATTTTCATGTTTCCACCTTGTTGCAGAGCATAGCAAATGTGATGAACGATGCAGCATTTTTCACCAGGATGGGATTGAACCTTCTGATCAGGCAGACAAACTCTCAGCCCCTTGTAAAGATGACAGCCAAAGAATTCATGTTTGGATACAAGAGCACACTTTTGTCTCTCGGCAACAAATTCATGCCTTCTTGGATTTCATTTGACAAACTTGGCCTTATTGATAGAGTAAGTACCTAACTTAAGTATCATGCAAATTAAAATAATATTTTCAGAAGAGAGTAAGAAGACATTTTCAGGGTGGTGTGGTGTATTGAAATGAAATGTTACAATTGGACAATGCATATTGCATTTTGCACTTTTTCAATGACTTTTGTTTTTGCTTACTATGGGTTTGCTTCAAACAACACAATATCTTGTACCACATCCTGATACAAGTGTCCTCTTACCCAACATAAAACTTAAGTTTTCAAGTCAGGCTTTATTGCCAAATCGATCTTGTTTTATGTCATCAATCAACTCAGACATCAAGCTCGGTTTTTGGACTTACGTGGAAGCGGAGCGCGGAACCCGGAGAGCGGAGTGCGGAGAAGCCATTAACATGGTGTTCCTCCGCTTCTAGGAAAACAGAACCATTAAACTATCGTACCTACACGGTAAATCCAGAGTGCACGCCGATTCAGATTCATATTCCGATTCACATTTTCGGCGACAGGAATGGCACTTGCATTCAAATGGAAGTGGCCATAGTGGCTGCCGGTTTCCGAGCCCATGCGCAGGCACCTGCTTACTGGAATGAATTTTTCATTTTTCATTCTGCTTTCAGATTCCGATTCAGATTTTGCTCGTACGCATACCATTTAGTTAAATAAATTATGTTTTTATAGTAAAATATTTATCTTTTTTCATTCCTACTTTTAGGGTTTCCACTAAACGGTCTTCAGGGTTTTTTTGTTTGTTACGTAGGTTACACCAAGTTCTTACAATACCATGTCCAATTTTAATAATATGTTTCAGTGGTTCCCACTCAACGCAATATAGAAAGAAGCTATGTCATTTCTAGCTATAGGAAAAGAGATATATAATATCATGAACACCATTCTTTACTGGATGTAACTTCACAACAGTTTCAGATGCTATAATTTTACACGTTAATTCCTCATCCGACAATTCACTAACGACTGACTTGTTTCTTTGCTAACCGAGTCAGTAGCGGCAGCGTATTTCCGGCTTCCACTGTGGCCACCAACAAAATATCTGATTCAGATTAACCAAACGCCGAATATCTGCACTCTGGATGTACTGTAGACAAGAGAAGTCTGATCTCCATGTTCCACGTTCTGCGCCTAGGAAACCCCGACTTAACAAATAATAAGCAAGACAAGTTTATTTAAATCCTCACAAATCCAATAAAAGCTCACCAAATCTATCTGTATTCTGTAAATGTATAGTTTTGTGGATGCACAATATTACTTATTCCTGGTCAGTTCATTTAGCCTACTCTATTATCTTGAATAACCAGGGCAGACCTCTACTACTATCTTTGTTCTCATTCACATTGTATAGTTATACTGACATCTTTAATGTTATTTTTTCTAGATGTACAACTTCAAGGGTGACACAAGTACAGTTTTCACAGGAGAGAATGATCTTAGCCTCAGTGGATTGTTTGACAATTACAACGGACTGCCGTATCTGCCACAGTGGGAAGGCGCTCCTTGCAATGCCGTCAGCGGCGCAAGCGATGGCACCAAGTTCCCAGCTCTCATCAAACCCAACGACACCATTTTGTTTTTCCGAAAATCTCTCTGCCGTTCCATGCCTCTGGTTAGTATATATGTATTATTCAATTGCCACCAAAATGAAAGACTTCTTCCATCATTCTTGTAAACAACGTCAGATCAAATCCCAGTGAATCTTAAACAATTTAAAAAGGTCGTAGTGGTCAGTCGGTAGCACAGCCATTAAAAGTAGGAAAGTGATGTAAAAAAATGTAGATTTGATTTATAGTGCTGCATAATTTTTTGCTGTCTGCGCCAAGTATTTCCTGAGGGATTGTGTGCTATCTACTAACAGAGACATACAAAACAATTCAGTATATCTATAGGGTGTCATGAGCATCATAATCTTCCCTTTGGATATCTCGTTTTATTTTCTTTTTTTATAGAGAATCCAAAAATAGATGCTCAGATGCTGCAGGAACCAAAATTTAACTGTGTGACTCCTAAACTAATTTAGTTTTGGTGTTTGAAGGTCAGAGTGGGAGAGGAGTATCGGCAGGGCATCAACGGCTATCGCTACGTGTTCCGAAAGCAAGCTCTAGACAATGGACACAACGACACATCCAACAAATGTTTTTGTCGCAAAGGCAATTGCCTTCCTGCTGGTCTTATTGATGTGACCGACTGCTACTATGGTAATTTCCCAATCTTGTCATGGTTATGAACATTTTTTCGGATTAAGACAGTCAGTTCCATTTAACTAAGCCTCTTTGACTTCCTAAATGGCTTTCTAAATTCTCTTTAATCGCAATATTGGTGCAAAAATCTTTTACAGAATTACAATTTCCTTTGCCCATTCTCTGTGAACAGATTCCCTTATTACAGGATTCTGCTGGTGTCTTTGAAGTTTGGGACATTCTGAACTTGGTGGTGTACCGGTACTGAGAGGGATTATTGGGGGTTGATAAAGACATACTTCTTTCACCAGGAGCTCAGTGTGAAACTGGCTTAAGCTGGAGACTTTATGTGTTTGGAGTTAGAAATGTTTGCCTCAATTAATTAAGGTTGCTACTATGTTTAGATGTAAAGTTGTGCTCTTGCATGTCGTCATGTGTAAGCAATCTTGGTTGCTATTATCTTGAGGAGTTGATGGTAGTTTCAATATGGTGTGATGAAGAATGGGTTGGAGAACCCTACTAGTTTTGTGACACATTTTACAGGAATTTTGCCAATATCTAAAAAGTATTCAACGGAACTTAATTGATTTTGTATTAACTCATTTTAATAATGTGCCTATTTCTAGGGTTCCCTATTGCACTATCTTACCCTCACTTCATGGACGGAGACGAGGAGCTTGTAAACAATGTTGAAGGGATTCACCCTGACCCGAATCTCCATAGCACATTCTTTGTCATTAATCCAGTAAGTACAAAATTATATGCTTTGTAAAATAAAGTTGACTAATTTGACTTATTTCCTTGAATCTTAAGGGTACTATATGACTCACCTCAAAATATACTTAATCTCATTGGAAGGATAGGGTTAAATCAAACCACGCCCACGTATTCTTATTCTCTTCCCAGTTCTTTCCTTTTTCATTGATCTGTCTCTGTATTTAAATAGTTTATATAAATAAATACATCATGCTATTTCCCCCTTGATGAAGTTTTTAATTTAATTCGTTGACATAATATATAAGGATAAGGAAAATTGAATGAAGGGAAAATATTTGACATAACCTATCTAATGGTGGATATTGCTTGCAGGAGTCAGGTTTGCCTCTTCAACTGTCCGTCAAGATGCAGATTAACATGGCTCTGGGAGACCTCAGCAGCATTGCCAACAGCAAACTCTTCAGTCATCTTGTGCTGCCTATGCTGTGGACTGACATTGTAAGTGTTTATACATGTATATAACTTACTATCATGATAATGGGTGGAATGATGTTCCACAACCTTATTATCTAAACATTTAATAATACTCCGATCATGGGATCCCTTTCAAGAACAAAATAGCTAGCTTTTTCAAAACAGCAAAATAGCTAAGTGCAAAGATAGATGGAACAAACCTTTTACTGTTGCTCAAAAGAAACGAACCCTACTCAATAGTGTTCAAACTGAAATGGGTTGGTTTAGTGTTTTTTTTTTTTTTTTTTTTTAAGTTTAAATGGAGACAAACACATGATCAGCCTTGTGGGTTTGGCTCAAAGTTTCAAACTTTGAAGCACATAGTCAATGATTACTATCTTATAAATTTTCCTGGAGAGTTCTTTTGTTTCCATTACAAATTTGAGGCAGGTTTTTCATGATTTACCTCCTTGGGTTTAGCTTTGTAAAGTGAGATCATTACATTTAACATATTTATGCTGCATAGTTGTTATATTATAATTATGTTGCAGTATTTTGATGGACTACCGACAAGTCTGGCAGCCAAGTTCTACATCTACCTGAGGGTGGGTCCGATCGCACAGATGGTCTTTACTTATCTCTTCCTCATCTGCGGGGTCGCTTTCATGCTGTTGAGTCTATCTTCAGCTTTCTGCCTGCCTCGAGAGTTGAAACTGTCAGATCCGACCTCCATTTGGAGAGAAGACAAGTTCAGACACGACGTTGTGGAGAAGGAGATGAACAAACAGAGGTTGAAAGACGTGACAAACACAAAGGAGATGGAGGTGTTCTACTGCTCCTTGCTGCGATCCTCCGCTCAGACTGAGGACGAGGATGACTCCGTGTTACAGAGGACGCTTGACAGCTTTGAGGAGGTCAAAGTTTGAGTCTCGGCGGGCCGTTTACTCTAACTTATAGTTTCTCCTGCGTACGGACGGAATCTGTACGGACCTAGTCATTCTCAAAGCTGCCACCGGCAGAGCATCTCCTAACACGTTCCGTCGGTGTAGAACGTATTTTATCTCTCCTGATGCTCGGCCGGTGCGGGAGGTTGTAAATATGTCCTGTTAACGAGCGAGTTCATACCTGTGCACGGAACATCACAGAGACTTTGAAGCCCGCTGTGTGATAGTGTCCGACGTTTTAAAGTTACAACAATTAACGTCGTATTTAGTGTTTTAGCTCGCTATTACTTGTGATATCTTAGTTTTAAGACGCATACAATATACGAATCTTAACAGATTTCATTTTATATTGAACATTTTAATAAGAGTTAATATTTTTTATAACGTTCAAGATGGGTTTGCTGAGAAGCAAAATGTTTATTAGTTTATGTCATTGAGCTTGATATATCATAGATATTTTTAAAAGTTGTACATATAAAATAAGTTTGATTCATGTTTGTTTACAACACACAAATATAATTACCCTAAGCTGCCTAAGCTGAGAAAATACAATCTGTGATTTTAACACTTACAAAAAAACAAAAACAAAAAAATAGAAAGTGACATATATCCTTAGAACATAGATATGTAGCACATCTTGCATACTGAATATGTTTTAATATTGTATTTGTATTTTTATAAATTTCACGGGGTAACTACAAGGAAATGTACAGTTAAAGTAACCCTTTGTATTCAAGACAATTGACCTCAAAATATATCTGATTAATTCAAATACCTATGTTATTTGTGAGCAAAACAGAAAGTTAAATTTCTCAGTTTAGTAATGTGCAGATAATTTTAGCTTTCTAAACGTTAATTTTAAATTAATATTTTGCAAAATATAAAAAAACCTCCAGGGATAATGATTTACAATTCATACTGCCCTACTTTTATGGCTCGTTCTCCTTCAAAATTTTATGTATTTACAGTCATTTTTATATAAAAGTATTTTGTCCACTTTCGAACATTATGCTTTCGAGCTAATACCATAAAATATTTTAAAATCTAGATTTAGTGTTTCAATTAATAGAATGTACCTGTTCACCAAAGTTTTAATCTTGATTGATTCTTTGTACAAAGTAGAAAAACTGATTCAACTAAGTTGAGTGTAATCTTCTAAGTTCTATTAAAAAGATATTGCAAACAAAAGCTAAATGATGCAACTTATTCTATTTTAACACCTCACCTCCCCTTTTTGAGTTCTAATAATGTCAAAATAACACTCTATAGCATGACCTGTGGAGCACCATAGCAAAAGTCTGTGAAATAAAAAAAAAAACACAAAACCTTTTTTATAATCATTGTATTTTAACCGCTCTTACAAATAAAATTTATGCAAACCATCAGGAGCAGAATTGGGAGAATTTTACAAATGATTTGATACTTAAACATATACTGTAGATCATTTCATACTATTTAAACTCAAGTAAGTTTATAATTGAAATCTTGAATCTACAGATCAAACTAAACCATAAACAAGTATTTGATCTTACTACAAAAACTGAAATGATTTATTTCCCTCATTCACTAATCATTTATTTATCATTTACTAAATAAAATCATTTGTTATCATTTATTTTCCTCATTCATTAATCCCTCATTCTGTTGATAGAAGTTTTGTTTTAAGCCAAGCAGTATTTTAGGCAAGTTTAAATAGTGGTTTCATTTTTCAATAATTTTAACTAAGCAAACAAATTCCTGATGGCATGCTCCTTACAATCCATAGAATACTGATGGTTTGTGGTCATTTTAGTTTTTCAAATTCTTCTAAATCAGAAAATATTTTATTCTATAGAACCATTTGGCTCAAATAAATACACAATTTAGCCACATTGTGTAAATAGTATTTAATAAATGTGGTATCACTGATCTTGACATTTTTTTCAACTAATTTAATTTGCAATCTAAACATTTTAAATGGAAAAATTGTGGGTTAAAACATCTAATTAATTTCATCCTTTTTAATATTTTTTAAAGTAATAAATTATCAATTTTAATTAATAAAACTTAAATAATGCTTGCAGAAAATTTAGAAATGTATTTGGAAATACTACTTGAAACTAACTTACGATTTCCTGTAACTCCTACTTAATAAATTAACTTCTTTAAAGGTTTTAAGCGTGTTTGAATGAATTAATGTGATAATAGGGAGGAAAAATTTCATAGTTGAAGGATGATAATCTCAAATAAAAATTAAAAGATAAGTTTTTAAAACGAGTATTTTTATATATTATGTAAATATATGTTCTATCTAGAGAGAGCGATCTGTATCCATCCTGCAATCATACAAATTGTAAAAAAACTTCATTCAAAATGGTTTGGGGCAACTAATTCTCAAATGTTAAACTTAAGTTGTTGAACTTTTGTACTCAACATTTTGAACAGTAAAACCTCACTAACTCGACAATTTGTCGACCCAGAGTTTGTTGAGTTTGGGGGTTGTTGAACTATCCAGAACATTGACATTTTTATGGGTTTTAATAAATGAATATTTTTTACAATATAAATTTATTATTTACACGAGTATTTTTACATATTTAGTAAACAATCGGCAAAGAAATGTTGAGTATTCAACAATTAAAACTAAATATTCCGAAAACAATTCTTTTTGCATAGGCCCTGTCAGCTGTTGATTGACGAGTTACACAGACTGTCAGTTTGAGTTACCGAGTGTGATTTAGTGGGGTTTTACTGTACATTTGTACTTAATGAGCTACTATCAACCAATCTTATAGAGGATTTTGGTGCTATAAGACTCATTTTGATTTTATAACAGATAATCACTGTAGAAAAACTTATCTGTAATTAAATTTTTAAAATAATTTGGTTTTTTTCTACTGTTTCCATGTTTTTAATTTGTTTTCAGCCATTGGTCGTGCAAAAGGCTAAAGTCATCTGTGAATGGTACAATTGATTTTCAAACAGATTAATTTCATAACAATCTCGCAAATTCTTTTGTTTCCTCTCAATGTACAGTTTAAAATCATTAAACAAACTTACTGTGATTATTTTTTTACCAAACTCATTTTAACAATTAATTTATTTGTGTATAATGTATATACAATTATTAATTGAGGATTTAAACTCCTACATTATATTTTGAACAATCACCAGAATTCTAAAATACAAATGGATGAAATTATTGTACAACAGTAAACCATTTCATTTTATTATGATTAATCAGTTCAAAATGGCAAAGCAACACAATGACAACAACATTTGCAAAAAAAGGTTTGTAGGCATGATAAAAAAGAGGATAGCGATTTATGGATGTTTGAATGATGGGTTATGAATCAAAATTGATTTCATATAAGATTTGCCAATATCCTATCTCTTTAATTACTTTAATTTTATTAGTATGAAATGGTTCAGCGAATAAAATTGTCGCTATTTTGATGTTCCACCATTTTGTTAAGTTATTTCAGAAGTGGGACTCCGGGGTATTTTTGCATATGTTGCAGCTTTGGAGTTGTAAGTTTGTAGCATATTCGATGCGCCTGGTATATTGATTTTAAAATAGCAACCTCTTTGTGGGTCACCCTATATAAATTATAACAGAATAAATGTACAAATTTTATCCCTAACAGTATAGACATATGTAATGCTGATCAAGAAATTATATTAAAGTAAAAATCCTTTGATGTCAATAATTTGTATTGAAACTCATATTGCTTTCTCACTTAAAGGAACGATGTTAAAGACTGATTTATTTCTTGATCGATTGTCATTGATGGGCAAGTATGGGGAAACAAGATAAGAATAGTAAAAGAGATCGAGGTAAATTTACTGTGAAATTGTCATTTACTTCACTACCCCGGGTGGATACTGCACTCCTAAGATAAAACCTTATTGATTTCACCTACCCCATGCCTGTCGTACTGAAAAGTATAACAGAAAGGGTAATTTTCTAGCTTAATTCATTAATGGGCTTTAAAAAGTATTTTAAATAGTAGTGTTCTTAGGGTATTGAGAGCCAAACTTAGGTTGTTTTCTACAAAGGACTCAAAAATCTGTTTTTTTATTTTTTATTTTGTATTGTGGAGGGGCGAACTCAGAGTGCCAGCTAGCAACAGAAACTTATTATGCATTGTATTAAAATTAGAAAGCTTACATTGAAATAAAGAATCTCCTGAATAATGGCAAGACATATCCACTAACTCACAGTTAATCAATTTTACACAAGTTTATCTAATTTTACATAGTATAATTAATCACAGCGTTTGGGAATTGTGTCTGGACAACAGACTATTGGTAAATATCCTCGGAATGTCAAGTTTAAATTTACTCTGATAACACTTGAAACAGAATATATGCAGTATAGAGAAGCTCACTTAACCGAAACAAAATCTATGGTTTTGACTATCCTATCCTACGTAATGGATCATGATCCAATATGAAAGTATAATAGGGTAAAAGGGTTGTGAAAAGTTTAAAAGAACTTGTGAAAATAATAGTATAAATACCCCCACTGCAGCAAACCTGCAGACTAACCGAATTTCCATTTGTCTGGTTGGAAATCTTGGACTGAAATATTTCCTTAAAATTGTCACATTTGTTTCCTATATAAATAACATTATTTGAATGAGTATATAGGTTTGCTGCTATAGGGAAGGTACCTATATACCTATATACCTATATACCTATATGAGGGTATAGGTATGTTTTTTTTTTTTTTTATTGAAATGTTGATAGCTTAGTATGAAATAAAAAAAATTGCAAAATTCCATCAAAATGAATCCATAAAAAAGCAAACTATAACAGTTTACTTATTCTCCTTAAGAATAACATGGGAATTTTAAGTTTAATATTTTTTGGAATTTTCTCCGTAACTATTAGGCACATAACAATGCTTCAATATACTAAATTATTTGGGGTTTTTTTTAGCTCTACAAAATGGTTTAGAAATATCAAATAAATTGCAAAATTTTATGATTTAAGGTCAAAAATGGGAAAAACGAGTTTTTACAGTGTATTTTTAAGATAGGTAGCTTCCGGACTATTGAGATATATGTTTTAAATAGTACTGTATTTTATAGTATTTAAACTATTTATAATAAAATGTATCACCACAGAATAAAAGAGCTAGTAGCCAGTTTAGAATAATCTACCCATTTATTTAAGGTACTTTTGAATATATGGTGGTACCATTGATTTTGGATACCAAAAGTAGACATCTTATCACATTGTATTTCTGAAGCCTATACTTTGAAGCATGTTTTGAGTCTGGTTACATTGAGGCCTAATATTTACTAAATGATCTTGCTTATTTTTGGGTAATTTTGCTGTATATGCTCTTTACTACTCTTATGTCAAATCAAATCACCAGAGGAAAAACACTATATTACATATGAACTGTTTTAAATCGGTTGTAACTTAAAAGTTTGTTAAATAACAAGGAGAATCAATAATAATAATTAGTTCACTATAAATATATGTACAGAAACATGCTTTAAAATTCTCTTCAGCTGATCGGTAAAGATAACAAATCTATAAGAGGGAATTTGTCTAATCTTTGAAGGTATTTTGGGACCAAGAAAATCTTGAGACACTGTGGATTTGGAGAGTAAAATAACTTTAATACAATTATTCAATTGCATTCTTAACTATAGTGCAATAATTCAACAACTCTCTTCACTTCAGATACATTCAGTGGTTAGTTTTACAACAGTTCAGCACAATAAAGGTACAATGTAAAAAAAGAGATGGAATAAATATAGAGGAAAACATAGAAAAATGTGGATGAATGCAGTTCCAGACATTTAGGGGGGATTGCAGGTTGACAATAATAGCATAAATTTGGAGATTCGACTCAGTCTTTTGGTTGAGTTGAGGTCCAAGTGGTTTTCAGTCATATTCAGCCCCTATGGTGATACTCATCTCTCCAGGAAGTATCATGGTTTGGTGGTACCAACGATTTGTATCCAGCACAACTGAAATGCATTTACAAAGAATTAATAGGTTGTGGTTTATGAAAATGCTAACTAAATTTCTACTTATACTTTCCACTAGATAGAAATATCAACTTGGCTTCGGTTAAGTATCTTACCTCTAGTAATAGGCATAGCATTTGATCATTTTTCAACCACTAAAAAGGCAGCTCCTCCCCTTGATGTTAAACTCCACCAAACGTTGGGTTTTAAGACTGGTAATTTTAAAAGGACTCGTTTACAGAAATTATTGAAATAAAATTTTGGAAAGATGATGTTTAATGGCTTTTAAGAGTCTTTAAGTCAAAACAGTACATTGATCTCCTACCTACATCTTAGTCCACTTGCTAAAATGACTGGAGGGATTTCTCCGATACAGTAGAGCTGCTCCTCGACTGCAAGAACTATTCATTTTACTTTCTCCTCCCATACATAGCATATGGAGAAAGTATTGTTTTTTGTCAAAATTTTTGACTTTGAAGTTTTGGGTGGAAATGTCCGTTTTGGGCCCCCCTGAACCCAAAAGAGTGGTTTCTGAAGTGATGTGTAGAGCGCGAGTGTGTGTCTGTTTATGTTTGTGTGTGGATGTGTACAGAGCCATATATCATACTTGTGGTTCGATTTAGATGAGATTTGGTATCCAACTAATCCATGGTATGTCCAGGCATGGTTTTCAATTTTTTGGAAATTTCAATTTTTAATGGTGGTTTTCCCATAAAAACAAATATAATAACGGAAAGATCTGATTTTTACCAAAACACCTTGAACAGTTTTATTTAAAATTAGCATGTTATAGTCCTTTTAACTGTTAATCAAATTGTACAAACCCCATTGCTGTACAAATTACGGTCCAAGAGTTTTTGCAGCTCCCACCACTTACCCACAATAAGGGTTGTTAACAAGTTAATGTAAGAAATAATGTGTCAGATTGCTGATATCGTTTATTTTGTTTACTGAATAGGTGGTTCAGTTTAAGGTGGGCTCCAGAACATCACAGCTTCATCACAATTGTCAAGCTATTATTGATTGGTGAGTTTGAACCCTGACCTCCAAGCAATGCCAATGCCATACACTGGTCCACCACCAACAACAATGATCATGGAAAAAGCTTCTTACTTATCTCTCCAGGGCTGACAACAACCTCCAGAGTGTTGCAGTGGTAGATACACTCTGGTGGAGGCTGCAGAGTCCACTTCTTCCTCCCTCTCAGCTGTGCTTGCCAGGACGGATGGCTTACACTGTCCACCTATGATTACAGAAAAAGGATACCACTAATCTAAGTTGAATGACAGTACTTAGCATTGTATCACAAAAATCTTGCCATAACAATTTTGTTTAGAACCCAAAGTGTGTAGACAGCATGGCAAGAAAATTCAAAAAAACATTAAGGATACTTCTATTCTTCACTTCTATAATTTCAAATGGAAACACATTTTTTTGAATAAAACTGGGATGGAATATATTTTTTAATGCAAATAAATATATGACTACTCTAAAACATTATCACCCCCCTAACCCTGTCAGCAACAATGGCCAAAACTTCTTTTCATAAGTGCTTAAAAATGTACTAAATCACTGTTTTCTTAAAAATAGTGAACTAAATATTTTTCAACATGAAATAAGTTCAGTATGATAATATTTTTGTTGGGCATCACTCACCTTATTGAAGTCACGAGAACGTAGTCCTTGTCATGTCACAATAATACACAGTTCATTGCACATAAAAATATACAAAAATAAAAATAAAAATAAATCCAAATTTAAAATATCAGACAAAAGTTCTCAACACCGACGTTTCGCCGCACCAAAATCAACGTGCGGCGTTTTCAAGGTTATTCCTCTTCTCACGCAATCGCTGTGAGCGCCTAACCACGACTGACGACCCCGGTGGTGGAGGAGGGGGAGGGGGGACTCTGTTATCAAGAACAGCTGATGGCATTATCTGTTCTGTGCTTGTGGGAAAGTGGCATTTCAGAGCTTAATAGGTTCAAGGAGCATATAAACAGCATTTGTGATACTATTAAATTCACTATTGAATTTGAAAATGATTGTAAACTTCCGTTCTTAGATGTAATGGTTGATAGGTCCTCGGACACTTGGCATACCAGTATGTACAAGAAGCCTACGGCAACAGTACAATATTTGCATTTTGATTCATACCATCCGGACCACGTAAAATTAGGTTTAATAATTGGGCTTATTAAAAAGGCGAAACTAATCTGTAGTGATGAACAGACTTTTCAGCATGAGGTAGTAACTATAAAAAACCGCTTACTTAACAGTGGGTACCCTAAAAGATTCATAAATAAAGCCTTAAGAAAAATATCCAGCTCTGATACAAGTTTACCACCTAAAGATAACAAACCTTTGGCCACAGTATGCATTCCGTATATTAAAAACCTTTCGGAGAAAATACGGCGCGTGAATGCTAAGCAAGGTATTAGGACGGTCTTTACCTCAAAAAACACGATAAGAAGACAGGTATCTAAAGTGAAACCTCCTAACTGTGGTAATGACAATAAAAACGTGGTGTACAAGGTCCCATGCTCGTGTAAACGTAGCTATGTAGGTCAAACTTCAAGACCGGCTCTCATACGGGTTCATGAACACATGAATGCTCGTGTAAACGTAGCTATGTAGGTCAAACTTCAAGACCGGCTCTCATACGGGTTCATGAACACATGAAAAAAGTTGATACACGTGTAACCTATGGTTCAAAAATATCTGAACACGTTCATGACACCGGGCATTGTATAAAGTGGGAGGAAAGCTGTATATTATACAAGGAGCCTAATTGGAAGAAAAGGAATATTATTGAGGCTTTGTTTATTACTTCAGATCAAGATTCATTAGCCAACGCATCCATTGATATCAGCCCGGTTTATAATACACTAATAGAGAAAGAAATTAAAGGATGCATAGAAAAATCTAAACAAAAGAAGATAATGCCATCAGCTGTTCTTGATAACAGAGTCCCCCCTCCCCCTCCTCCACCACCGGGGTCGTCAGTCGTGGTTAGGCGCTCACAGCGATTGCGTGAGAAGAGGAATAACCTTGAAAACGCCGCACGTTGATTTTGGTGCGGCGAAACGTCGGTGTTGAGAACTTTTGTCTGATATTTTAAATTTGGATTTATTTTTATTTTTATTTTTGTATATTTTTATGTGCAATGAACTGTGTATTATTGTGACATGACAAGGACTACGTTCTCGTGACTTCAATAAGGTGAGTGATGCCCAACAAAAATATTATCATACTGAAGTATTGACCTCACCTAATATACCATGTCGTTTAAGAATGAAATAAGTTATCAATAGTTTTTGATTGAGGCTTGTAATGTTAGGATCACTGATTCAAAATCTGCCAAAATTGTGCAATTTTTCAAGGCAGCTTTTGATCACAAAGCAGACTAAAAGGATCTGTACTTGTACCTCAAACTTTTTTAAATGAAATAGATTTAAATCAAATAGATCAAACAAAAAACACATTAGGCCAAATAAATCTAAAATTCAACTATCTTACATGCATTTTTGCCCCATATCCAGGACTTCCCATGAATATCCAATCCACTTTCTTGTTTTCAGATGTTTCTGGGAGAAAGTACGGTCTTGAATACTGTTCTTTCAAGATATGAGCCACTTGATTGTCACAATTGCTCCTGGACAGATCATAATTCCTACTTAGTACAAAAGAAATAATAACAATCATGGAAGATGGTACGGTATCAAATGGAAAGTCTATTAAAGTAAGTTTGTGGAACCATAAAAGTGTTTAGAGTTTAGATCTAGATTTTCAAAGAAATTTTCTCTGGCTTCTTCTTCTAATACCTATTGTAGAGTTAAAACATTTGAAGTTAATTTTTAATCAAAACAAAGCGAAGTACCATTACAATATAGGTCATATTAGCAAGCCATTAGAGACCGCAGTGATAGAACAGTTTGGGACATCGGTCTCAAACCACCAACGCTACATGACTTATCAGCCCAAGGTGCTATGTAAATAAATACATTGGCTCTACAAGACATATCTCAAAACTTTGGGTAAGGTATAGCCCATTCTACTGATTCCATACATTGTACCAACCAAAGACTATGAAATCCTACAAGTGGTACTTGAATATCGATACTTTACCCACAAGGTACTCACCAGCCGATGTACCAAGGTTTGGTCCCATCTTTCAATTGAGCTCGAGCTTCATCCATCGACAAAACTTCCCGTAAGCTGTTGAACCCACTCTCGTAAGGGAAGAACTGGCAGGCAATCTGATCAATGCTACCGTTGTACAGTTTCTGGAAGAACTTAAAGCTCATCACCTGTCGTCCTGGCCAAGCATTGGTGCCATCTCGGATCACCACCGGTCTTCCACTGTAGGCGTACCTAATGGCATATTAAGATCTCATATAGGCTTTATTATCTTGTGTCCGTCTCACAATTTTTGAGTGACAATTCATGCTAAATAGTATCTACTGGCTGAACGTGACAATATGTTTTACTAATATTGTAACCTTATCCTGAGTGAAGGAAGACCCTTTGCTGGTCCTGGTGATGTAGACATAGGAGTATTTAATATTTTTGTAATATTAAAAAACTGAGTCTGTTGCTGTGTTGTATTATGTCATTAAGGTAAATGGAGGACCCCCACGTGGAGAAATAAATTATATTTTTGTATTGTGACTACTGATGCTAGAGAAATAGTAGACCTAGTGAAAAATGAAAATTTTTGGGAACTGTCAGACAAAGTAGTTAGTTAGCCAACATTAAATATATAGATTTTTTTCTTTAGGGAAAGGTGGAAAATGCAAAAGGTGAAAAATGCATCTACACACACACACCAGCCAGCTTGTAGCATATGGGACTCCTAAGGGCTTATGACCCATAAGCTACCTACTAAAACCCTCAACTAGCCTGGGAACACTTGCCGCACTTCATAAGAAATAGGCCGAGTTGCACCCACAGGACTCATTCCATTATCAGCCATTCATCTCTAGCATCATCTAGATTTTAGACTTGTGTCAGACAATGAGTCTGGCTGTCCATTGTCTTTGAGTCTCCAGCTGTATCTGAAAGGAGTATGAGAGCTCTTCGGTTCTTACAGCGTCCTTGATGTAGCCTTGTCTCTGGTAGATTGCATTCCACTGTTGCCAAGAGTTTGACAGTAATGACTCCAGCTTTCACTAGGACGGCCAGTTTGGACACCATGCGGTATGTGAAAATTATCCTAAACGCCGCCTGACAATACTCTCGAGCAACATCTACCAATAGACTTTTGTTAAGCGTGTCTGCTCACACATCTTAGCCATATAAGCAAGTAGAAATCAAGCGTTGTAACGTACTTTCTCAGGTTTTTACCTTTGTATAGCTATCAGACCTTTTCAGGGTTTTCAGGACTCAGATTGACTGAACACTTGTATAGATTACAACACACTTATTATTTCAGGACTATTTACACAAAAAACTATATACAATATAAATACAAATCTCTTTTGCTCCCGAAGCCCACCCTGTGGCTTCTCCCACTTGCTCCACGGCTCTCAGGAGTCCCAAAAGCATGGCTCTACAGATTCTCCTCTCGGCTCCGGGCAGATCTTTTCTCTCAGCTCCTGCAGTCCTCTCCTTGGCTCCTGTAGTCCTCTCCTCGGCTCCTGCAGTCCTCTACTTTCGGCTCCTGCAGTCCTCTCCTTTCGGCTTCTGCAGTCCTCTCCTCTCGGCTCGTGCAGTCCTCTAACTGGATCCTGCAGTCCTCTCCTCTTGGCTCCTGCAGTCCACTAGCGGGCTCCTGCAGTCCTCTCCTCTCGGCTTTTGTAGTCCACTAACAGGCCTCGTCTCAGGAAAATGCTGGGCGGCTCACCAACGGGAGCCCAATCGCAGCAGCTCCTGCCACTCACTGTCGGATGCAGACTCTCCACGGATAGTGCTAGGCGGAAGGTTGTCCCTTGCATAGCAGCTCCTCACGCTGTCACCGACGGATGCCAACTCCTATCTCGGGAAGAGCTAGGCGGATGGTTGTCCCTTGCGTAGCAGCTCCTCACGCTGTCGCCGACGGATGCAGACTCCTATCTCGGGAAGTGCTGGGCGGCTCACCTTCTTGAACCCGCCTCTAGTGCGGGGACGGGACCCACCGGTGGCGCCTACCGGCGGGGGCAGGCCCGGAGGCCCAACTCACGAAGTCCCCCAAGTATGCTCCTTATATAGGGCCAGAAAGTGCTTGGAGGGTGGGGGAAGTACCCAGTACCGGCCCCCCGGCGAAAGTACTATGGGCACTTTTCCCTCAGCACTTTCCCTCAGTTCTTTTCCCCGTGTCACTGAGTACCTCTGACGCTTTCCCTCAGGTCTTTCCCTCAGTACTTTACCCTCATGTCACCGAGTACCTTTCCTGGTGTTTACCTCAGGTCTTCTGAAACACTTCATTACAGCGTCTTCTTAGGCTGCACCTGGGATCCCCAGAATTTGTTATTTTAAGCCTACTGAGAGTGCTTTCAATCCGTCTGGAAGAATCAGCCAATCAGCAATCAAAAATCATGTCTTCGCAGTGATCGCGGGTGATGATATCGGTGTGGTGGGGGAGTGGAGGAGGGGATAATCTCCGCGACCGCAAAAGATGCTCGCGATTTCTCCAAGACCATAGAGACGTTCATTATTTTGTCGCGACTGTGGGAGACGAAGATGAGTCCCCGCAAACGGGGAAGACGTTAACGATTTCCCCGCAATCGTGAGAGACTGTAATGTCTCGGCAATGGCGCAATATGTTTCGCCGTGATCGTAGGAGACGTTCACGATTCCACATTGATCGACGATCGCGGAAATTGTCTACGATTTCATTGCGAGCGCAAGGAACGCTCACGATTTTGTCACGACCCAGGACGATTTTGTTAATTTTCTGTATTGTTATGTGTTTCACGATTTTGCCATGATTAGGGAAGGCAATAATTATACAGTCCGCAATCGTGGAATACGTCTACAGTTCCGCTGTGAACGTTGGAGATGATCACGATTTTGCCGTGATTCGGTCAGACGATAATGATGTGTCCGAGATCGAAAGATGTTTACTATTCCGCCGTGAACGTAGGAGATGTTCACGAATTCATCGTGATCGATGGATACGTAGAAGGTTTCTCCGTAATCACGAAAGATGTTCACTATTTCACCGTCACAATTTCGTCGTAAGAGAGGAAAATTTCGTTCATTTTTTCAATTTTGTTTTGTGTTCACGATTTTGCCGTGGTTGGAGGAGTTGTTTAAAGCGATTATAATACAACTAATATTTTTAGAAATTGAGTTGTGCAACCCTGTTTTATTATTGAGCAGAGTTTTTCATATGATGAGTTTGACTTAAAAGACAATGTTTTTATCAATAGTACGGTCCTTAATAAAAATTGTAAATAAATATTGGAATTATAAATAACTATGCCCACAGCCAATAGCTTAAATAGACTTTAAAATATTTTAAATTGATTTGTCACACGTGAGTAAATATTTTACAAGTAAGAAATAATTATTTAAAATACTATTAAAATATTTATTTTAGGAGGAATGGATTTATTTGCAAACAAATCTAAATACCAGCACATCCTACACCTTTTACAATTAATTGCTAAAAAGTTTAAATAGGAAATTGCGTGTTTAAAATTGAACTTAAATTATCTCATTATTTCACAATAGATCCACAATAAAACAATCATGAGTTTCAAAACACACCTTATATGATTACCAGTAAAAATCAGTATTAAAAGTATGTACAGTATGAATTAAAATTGTTTTTGTTTATAACTACTCATTGCCAGTGCCACCCAAATACAGTATAATCAGCTGATTGGTGTCCGGTAAAACTCATTACAGTACAGTTTTTTTTTTTTTTTTTTTTTTTTTTTTTTTTTTTATTGGGAGGAGGTAAAAATGCATTTACGCACACTGATGTGCTCAATGGCCACTCAGTAGTGCCGGACTCCCGCGGGCTCGTTGTCCCCGGACTACCGGCTAAAAAACCCCCTCGTCTCCTAGGACACTAGCCTGGAACTGTTTCGCACATTACTTCGGGCTAGGCCTTTTATACTACGCCTCTAGGGCTTTCCTTCTGGTTTCCTCAGAAAACTAAGGCCGATCGAGGTCGACCTTCTTATCCCGAAGTATGGCTTCGATGAACTGCTTTACACAGTTCCAGTTTCCTTCCCCCTGTATCATAGCTCCAACGATGTTGTCGGGAGTAATGTCGACGCCGATCTCGGAGATCAAGGAGGCTCGGCGGACATGCCACCTGTCGCAGAAAAAGAAGGTATGCTCAGCCGAGTCTGCAATGCCTGGACAGTACATACAGTCCGAGCTGGCAGCCTTCCCCATTCTGTGCAAAAAGGCCCGAAAGTACCCGTGACCCGAAAGAAATTGAGTCAAGTAGTACCCAACCTCACCATGCTCCCGTTCCACCCATGGTCGGATGCTAGGAATGAGCCTGGCGGTCCAACGTCCCCGAGACTCGGCTTCCCATTCACGCTGCCAGCGGTCGAAACTGCGGTTGCGTTCTTCTCTGGCAGCAGTCTCTCTATCTACTTCAGGTCTCCTGCGGTAGATCGCCTGTCGCTCCCTCGCGAGATGAAAGACGGGGATGACACTGGCAATCACCATGACTGCAGGCTCGGAAACATAGCGGTAAGCGGAGGCAACTCGCAAGGCACCTCGACGCTGAACACGGGAGAGCCTGTCACGGAAGACACGCCTCTCCAGCACGTGGGCCCAGATTTCAGCGCCGTACAAGAGTACTGATTGGACGGCAGACATCAGTAGGCGGCGTTTGCAGGAGCGGGGGCCGCCGACGTTTGGCATAAGCCTACTAAGGGTAACAACTCCCTTAGCGGCTTTGTCAACAGTTCGCTTTATCTGCTCGCCGAAAGACATTTTGCTGTCAATCATAACACCAAGGTACTTGGCATACGGCTTGGTCTCCAATTGGGCATGGCCTACTTGCAAAGGAAGGACGGTGGGAATTCTTTTCTTGGTTAGGATCACGATCTCTGTTTTTTCAACCGCCAACGATAAGCCGTGGTCCCGCATCCACTCGTTGACACGGAGCATCACTATGCCAAGTTTAAGCTCTGCTTCTTCAACGGTTCTGCCTGCAACCAGAGCAGCGACGTCGTCGGCGTAGCCAACGAGGCGGGTCTCGTCTGGCATTTCGAGTCTAAGCAGACTGTCGTAAGACACGTTCCAGAGATCAGGTCCAAGGATCGATCCCTGTGCAGCCCCAGAAGTGACAGAGATCCGACGCTGACCTTCGCTGGTGTCAAAGAGCAGGACGCGGTCTGAAAGGTAGGACTCAATCATTCGCAATATGTAAGGAGGGACGCGGAATGTCACAGTATGTTACAGAATGTCATTACAGTACAGTAGTACGCAATGAAACCCCATTTGATTAAGCTGGCGGCAAACAGCTGTTTTCTGGACTAAATCCTTGCATGGGAAGTTCGTCAAAATAGTGTAGTGTAGCGTAAAAACAATTTTCAATTGATCCATCGGGACCATGAACAGTTATGATGGTAATATTATGATGGTTTTCTCTCCCGAGACATTGAGGTGTCTATATGAGATCGTTGACTTTGAATTGTGTTAAATATATTCTAAGAGTTTCTTCCAGTTTACCTATGTAAATTTTTATACTCATACATGCTGATATGAAGGATACATTATATTTTTAAAGTTGAAGACATTATCTCGATCCATTAATCAGGGTGTCCCGGAACTGAAGTCTCTACCAATATTTTAGGGCATTGTTCCTGAGTAAGAAACGTATCTAAATATTTAAATTGTCCGGAAGTCCGTAGTTACTCACACAGCCGCCACTTTGTTTTTCACTTATTAGCGAATTTCCCTATAGGGAAGTAGCTATTATCGTAGGTGGCACGGTAAGACCTAGACCCAGGACCGATTTACTTTTTCATTTTGATGTCCCCAGAGGCCAAAAACACCATTCGTTCAAATTTTTTTATATGTATATATATATATACGTCCGTGAACGCGATAACTTGAGTAATTTTTGTCCGATTTTGATGAAATTTGGTTTAAAGGTGTAAAGCGGGATAAACTTGAATGAGTTCGCGAACCAGCATGATCAGACCATGGGAACGGGGCTTTACAGGGGGTTTTATCGGGTAAAACTGGGTTTTCTCACTTCTGACCCTCAAAACACAAAATTTCCCAATTTCCCTTTAGACCTTTTTAAAGAGCTTAAAAAACAAATAATTTAGTATATAAAAGTATTTTTGTTCGGTTATTGGTGACGGAGAAAATTTAAAAAATTGTAAATTTAAAATTTCCATGTTATTCTTATGGAGAATATTGTAAAATGAAGTAGTTTGCTTGTTTATGGATATATTTTGATCAAACTTGGCAAATTTATTTATTTTGTAGTAAGCTATCATTATTTTACTAAAAACACACTTTATTAGTTTCCTTGTATGTAGCAGCAAATTTAGAATCAATTCAGACAAATGGAAATTCGCTTAGTCGGCAGGTTTGCTGCGGCGGGGGTATTTTTTTAATAAAAAGCGTTTAAAGAGACGAAATTGAAACATGTCAAAAACATTTATGACAACTAGACAAAGCTACAAAAAAATTACGAAGATTTTTAAAAATTTAAAATCAAAATGGCGGCCATCTAAAAATTTTGTAAAATCTACGGTTTTGAGTTATTTAATAAAAATAAATAAATAGCCACCATTTTGTTTTATGAATTTGAAATATTTTCATTATTTTGTTGTAGCTTTGCTTAGTTGTCATAAATGTTTGTGCAAAGTTTTACTTTCGTATCTTTAACTACTTTTTAGAAACAAATTAATAAGTAAAAAAAACACAATGGCGGCTGTGAGAGTAAATAAGGACTTCCGGACAATTTTAATATGATATTTAGATATGTTTCTTACCCAGGAACAATGTCCTAAAATATTGGTTGAGAGTTCCAGGACACCCTGTATATTACCGGTATCTGACATTTACACTAGACAAGTCTATACCTATTGACCTTGCGCTGGTTATTGCATAATGAGTGGTGTAAACCTTGTTAAATACCATTTGCGCAACTTGCGACAAGGTTTAGCTCATAGCCGCTGAGGCGTTATTACACCAACACCAGCTTGATATAGATTACACTTCGACCAAATATACAACTATGTAAATATTTACTGTCAATATGAGATAGTAGTTAGGTGGATTTCTTTCCACAATAGTAAAAAGTGTTTACTATGAAGATGTTAATACTGTTTAGCTGTTTTTTTTTAATTACAAATGGCCTAAAAGCTGAAACTTGGTCAGTTGTTGATTCAATAATTCGTTCCTAAATGTTATTAAAAACATTTAATACTGCTGTTTTCAGTAACCGTACTGTATCTTGAAAAGAGAAATCCACAATACATACATGCACTAATACATTGACGTGTTGTTTAATATTTACAGGGTTGTTAAATATTTCTCCTGAAACTATTGTGCTTATTTAATAAGAATACATTTCAACCAATACTTAATTCATTATAAGCCAAATTTAACGCTTATCCTAATTCCTACATTAAGGTGGCTCTCACAACGCTATTATTAGGTTGAATTAACTCTATATATTACCGGTGCTTAACAGCTATCATCAACAGAAGTAGATTTTTTATTCAGATTGATAAATATTTAGGTGATCATAAAAGCAATACCAAAAGACATAGACTGATACTGTAGATACGTATTAAATGGTTACCTTTCTTCAAACTCCTCGGGAGATATGTCAGCCACAGAATCGACTTGAGAGAGGCCCTTGCAAATAGAGCAATCTTCAGTCGGCCTCAACCAACTTGCCATACGATCCGGTATGGACATGGCACACTGAAACATACGTTGTCATTGCAAACTGAAACACGCTGAAACGCTAATTGTATAGTATCATGGCGCACTGTAACAAGTGTAACACTCGTTACATGCTGTCGCTGCAAACTGAAACACACTGAAACATGCTGTCATTGCAACTGAAACACGCTGAAACACTAATTGTATAGTATCATGGCGCACTGTAACAAGTATAACACTCGTTACATGCTGTCGCTGCAAACTGAAACACACTGAAACATGCTGTCATTGCAACTGAAACACGCTGAAACACTAATTGTATAGTATCATGGCGCACTGTAACAAGTGTAACACTCGTTACATGCTGTCACTACAAACTGACACACACTGAAACATACGCTGTCATTGTAAACTGAAACACGCTGAAACGCTAATTGCTTAGTATCATGGGGCACTGTAACACTCGTTACATGCTATGCTGTCACTGCAAACTGAAACAAATGCTGTCATTACAAACTAAAACGCACAAAAACACTTATTGTATAATATCAGGGGGCAGCATCGTTAGGCCTGCATTGCATGATGTCCCTGCTTACTGAAACACACTGAAACTCTCATTGTATACTATCAGGAATCACGGTAACACACGTTACATTCTGTCTATGCAAACTGGAAAGTGTCATTATACCCTTATATTGTATACTATAATGGTACCGTACACTGAAACATACCTTACTTAATGAGACTGCAAACCGAAACAAACGCCTGAAACCGTCACGGTACACTGAAGCAATAGTTACATATTGTTATATTGTCACTTGTTACATGATGTATTATGATACACACTTAAACCATTGACTTTGTATGTACATCCTGCAGATATACGTATAAACCTAGATATAACTTATTGCCGATTCTGACACACAATCCTACTTTTCGATATGAGAAAACAAATGCCGTTAGCATAAATAGTCTGTCTCTCTTAATCATGTTTTTAAATTTTCATTCTATTTACTCCGTTCCCTCCTCCAAACCCTGTTAACTCGGCATTATCAATTATAAACAATCCTCAAGAAGTTTGGGAATGGCATTTTTTACCATTGCAGAAACGGTTCCACAGTTTGACGGGAACAATTATATTGGTATCAAAATATACATTTTAGGTAAGGTAATTATGAATAACGCTTCTGTGTATTATCTGCAAAGGTTCAAAAAGTAAAATGCTGTTCCCGGACTTTTTGAGGAGCGGCTCACCGGACATACCAAGCATATAAGAAACTCAGACAATCATTTAAACATTGACTTTTATCCCAAATAGCTCTCAGAACCGAATACTTCATATATATATATATATATAATAATACTTCAAATAGAATACTTCAGGGAAACGCGTACGGATATAAAGCTTCTTAGACATATAACGTGAGTGTTGAGTGAAAGTGCAGCATGTTATGGTATTTAGTTGTATAATATTTGCCAGAAGTACCTTCACTGATTTATTTGAGGATTAAGTACGTTAGAAAGGCGAAGAGATTGATTAATCGCTACGAGTAGGTACGTAGATAACTACTACGGAGAATGTTATTACTTACAGGTTTTTATATTAACATATGGGATTACTATTAAAAAACTAATAAAAATGTTAAATCGCACATAAAACCTTATAAATGCTGAATTATTACATAAGCAAAATATTACGTAATTTTTTACAGTCGTGAGAAAATATTAGTAATACAATAACAAAATATTTAAAATACGTATATCTGAATTTGTTTTCAAACAAACCCTATAAAATGTCTTAAAATGGTGTTATGTTCGCTAGAGACGCATGTAATAATGGTTGTTAAATAATATCCTAAGTGAACATAAATAATTCATTCTTGGGTTATATTGTAGTCGAACCGATTTCGGGTTGAACCAGATATTAACATAGTCCAAAGAATAAATTATTGAAATTGAAACGGCTCTAAAGTTCGTGTTTAATTTCTAATTAGGAAGTAATTTTTACACCAGTAGAAAAAGAGTACATAAGTTATTTAAAAACTAGCCAATTCAAAAAGTATTTTAAAAATCCACAGTTAAGCTGTTTTAAAATAAATTTCAAAACAAACTAAGTACCTAAATCGGATGTTTGAAATATTCTGTCACACTCCACATTTTATACCCCTGAAACCTTTGGGATTGAGCAATAAGTTATCACTACTAATTATTTTACCAGCTGTATATTTTTAACCTTCAAAATAACCTAATATTTATTATTTTGATATTTTGGCTCGGAAATCTATTGTTGATACGATAGACCGTATAGGATATTTTTATATTGCGGTTTTGATTTAAATAGATTTTATATCTTTGACGAATTTCATTGCAATATTTTCTTGACAGATTACAAATGACTATTTCGATAATTGGCTTGGATGATTTTACCAGGGTAAATTGTTCAATAATTTTAATATAAATCGTAAGAAAAATATTAAAAATGCAAACTTAGTATGTTTCGCACAACATATTTATGTAATATCATTAAATTGATAAAATTTAGTGCAAACGCAATCGAGTCATCTACTGAAAATCTCTCTATGCTCACATGCATCATTTCTATATTCGCATTGTTAAAATTTGTTTACAAATTGTGGAAAATTGTAAACGTCAATAATAATCACTGGATTAAGCTCTGTTGATAAACTTGCAGAACTGTTGCAAATGATCGGAAAACATTGTAAAACAAGAGTCCTTGGAGCCTAGACGTTCTAACTTATAAAACAATTAAATAACTACAAAGACAATCTATAATCTCACAATATACTAGATATTTAAATTATATATATGTATAGTATTATATAAATGTTATATATGTAAGGTTTCGTTTTGTCTGTTTTAGGTTAACGCTGGTTATGAAAATCATAATCGGTCTGAGAGTCACCTTATCCGACACCTAGAAGATTTTTTTTACACCCCCAATGTACTAAAAATTTGTTTTAAACACATTTCAAAATTAATACTATTGATTTAAATTAATTGATTGACGTTTTAATTTTTTAATGTTATGTTTAAAGATTTAGTTTTGAATAGGTTTATCATCTAACGGCTTAATGCATTTACATCTAATTAATACAAGTCCTTGTTTACACAAGTAGTTAAAATACCATAGTATAATATAAAGTTCCAAAAAAGACAAAATTCCCACATTAGCAAACCATTAGAAACGTATATAAATATGAACATCGGAATTCACCTGTTATAATTTAACTTCCCATTTAGATAAATACACTCGTAACTTATATCTACGCACATGTTCCTATTTAGACCTTTTCCGCTTAATTTTAAAATAAAAACTTTATTTTATTTTTAATTTTATTTATTTTTTAATTTTTTTAATTTTTTTTAAATAGACCTGAAGTTATTTTAAATTATTTTTTTAAAATAATTTCAAAAAATAATTTTAAAATAAATTGATTTTAAAATAATTTTAAAGGGATTTATAACAAATTCATTGTCAATATTATTAAGAATATTAACAAATATGGTTATTATACATTATAATACTGTACATCATATAGTATAATATTACTGTAATACTATACAGTATATACTTTTGTTTATTTTTAATTAGTAAGGATTTTTGTACCATCTGTTACTTGTAAAAACGTTTTGTAATATATTATATTGAATGGTAAGTACAAATATTATTTTATTTGTCATTTCATGCCATTACTTTAAAACACAAAAGCACGTAGGTCCAGTTCCTGATTTACCTTTTCATTGTGGATGTCGTATCCCTTCCACCTAAGGATCGCCCTGGCGAGGCCCGCATGAGTGTGTAGTTGAAGAGAGTACGCGACGGCGAGAGTGACGGTGGCGACGCCGGCGAGGAAGTAGAGAAAGGCGTGGAAGCGGTGCGGTGGACGGACGCGAGCTTCTAGGAGTCGGACGGAAGGGAGTGTCGGAAGGTCGACTCCAAGGGTGACGGCGTGGGCGAGGACACTGGCTAGTCGGGTGGCGGCCTCCTCCATGGTCGACGGTGAACTGACTGAGCGACACTCTTGTAGTCTTGTACATGTGTTGCTCCACCCGACCGTCCGTCCGCACCACCCCCTACAATAAAGTAATACAGGGTGTTCCGGAACTCCCTACCAATATTTTAGGACATTGTGCCTGAGTAAGAAACATATCTTAATATCATATTTAAATTGCCCAGAAGTCGTTAGCCACTCACTATTTTTTCACTTTTTTTTCTTTCTAAAAAGTGGTTTAAGATACGAAATTTAAACTTTATGAAAAACATTTATGACAACCAGATAAAAATACAGAAAAATTATGAAAATTTTTTAAAATCATAAAACAAAATGGTGGCCATATACAATTTTGTTTCTTAAATAGCTCAAAACCCGTTTATTTTACAAAAATTGTATTTTATGGCCGCCATTTTGTTTTATGATTTTGGAAAGTTGTCATAATTTTTTGTAGATTTGTCTAGTTGTCCTAAATGTTTCCGCGTAGTTTCAATTGCGTATGAGTAGGGGCAATATAGGAATATGACGTCACTTTCGGCACGTTTTCCCCCTAAGAATAACATGGTGAGCTTTTATTAGCCACTTTAAAAAAAATCCTGCTCTTGGTCTATACACCCCTATACAAATGTTCTATACTATTCTACTCCATTACTATTTCAAATCCACATCCATTCGCACGTATATTTTCAAAATCGCCGACTTGACAGTGCGAGGTTTGCACGCGAACTCGCGCGCTCCCCGCCGCGGGTGTGGGCATGCTCCCGCTTCTCGCTCCCGACTCATGGTCGGTCTTCTCGTCTTCGTGGTGAAATGGCATCCTTAGTGGAAATCAATGAATTCTGGCTACTTGGGAACCCAAGCCATTTGACATACATCAAATCACCCTTTCTCCTAATCACCAAATAAATGTCTTTATACTTACTTTGGTCTTTATACTGGGAAAACGTGCCGAAAGTGACGTCATATTCCTATATTGCCCTTACTCGTATGATTTTTTTTTTATTAATAAGTGAAAACAATTACTGATAATAGAGTTTTAGCTATTGTCTGTGGTACCTATTGCACTATCGGTGTAACATATGAGAGAAAATTTAGTATTGAAAACCAACAAATCGAAAAGCCATTATAATTTTAAAATAATATATAAATACCCCTGTCTCAACAAACCTGCAAACTTTTTAAGTAAATTTCCGATTGCCTGATTGGATTTTTACTAATATAAACACGTAAGATTTATTCCCTATTTTAATAACATTGAGTTTACAAGTTTGTACCAAATTTAATCAAAATCGGACGATTTTTACTGGAGTTACTATGCTAATGGACGCATATGTGTGTAGATTTAATCGGATGACGGGTGGTGTTTTTGAGCCTATTTCCGGATTCTGGGCTCGGACTAAGATAAACCATTGATAAACCCGAGCTTATGAACCGGAAGACGTCCAGACGAAGTAAATCGGTCCCTAGTCTAGATCTTACCATGATACCTACGGAATAGGGTAATTATAGATTAAGTTTACTAAAAAAATAAACAACCTGGACCTATACAAACTTAAATAAAACTATACTTTCTGATTTGTTTAAATATTAAATTTTAACTAAAGTTTGAGAAGGTGCAAGCTGAAAAATAACTGCTTTGCGATTCCATGAAAAACAAACCGGGCCCTCGGTTGGTAAAAAATGTACTAGTGGTGAAATATTAAAATGTAAAATGACAATACATATAACAAATTAATTACTTGGTAGTAACTATATTTTAAATTACTGCAATTATATCGATAGTTATCTGCATTTAAAACCGGCCAGGACACAACCTGCACGTTTACAACTTACTGTTACACGAACACTTTACTACTTACGCACGTATTTGCAACAAAGTAGTAAGTAAAATGTCCAGTCTTACACTTACACCAATTCCTTCAATGAATGCAAAGTGGTTGACTACAGATAATAGTAGCAGATGGTGCCCGGACTACTGAGTATTGAATGATTAAGTTACTCAAATGAGTTTAAGGGAAAGGCACCTGAGTCCACTAGTATATAGGAGGGTGTCAATTCACACCTCTTAAATTGGTTCAATTGGCATTTAGGCTCGTGCATCTGTTTGTGGAACTATTACTTTAAAGTAAATTTTTAATCCATCCTGACTGCTAAACTATTTGTTTCACTTCATAAACAGTAACATTTGGACAGGTAGTTTAGCTTCCAGAACAACAAATGGGGTAAAATTGACAGATAAACACAACTACTTTAAAAGAGGGTTATTAATATTACCTGCTGTCCTGAAAGTTCAATTCGAAATCATATAGGTTCCGAAATATAAAACATAAAAATTAAAATGTTCATGGTGAGGTACTATATATATAAAAAATACCCCCGCCGCAGCAAACCTGCAAACTGAGTGATTGTCAACTTGTCTGATTACATTTTTATTTATTAAAATATTTCCATAAATAAGACATATTTATTCCCAATTTAAATAACATTAGACTTAACGAGTTTGCTGCTATGGGGAAGATAAAATTTTTTTTGACCAAACTTCAACAGCATAGGGTGAAATAAATAAATTGTTATCATGGAAATTTTAAACTTACACTTTAATAAAATTTTCTCGGTAACCTTTAGGCATACAACAGAGCTTCAATATACTAAATTATTTATTTGTTTAAGCTCAACAAAACGGTTTGGAAAGAAATTGCAAAATTTCATGTATTTTAGGGTCAAAAATGGGAAAACTCATTTTTACCCCATAAACCCCCATTGCCAAGGTCCGATCATAATTTTTGCTCGAGTTATCACGCTAATGGACACACACACACACACATATATATATATATATAATCATTTAACTATTTTTTAAAAATTTATTAAGGCTGGAAAAGGGACTTTTTTTACCACCCTGTATATATATATATATATAGATATGTACATGGATGTTAAGTGGACAAAATTTATATACAAAGCTGTTAGGAGGACAATTGCTGTCCTCTTATTAATAAGAAGACAGTCCTCTTAACATCCTTGTATATAACATGTTGTGTCCTTATAACAGCCTTGTGTATGGCAAAAAAGGCATACCAATACACTTGTAGGAAAATGAATTTCCCAACTAAATCCCATACATTTTAAATGGGTCTGTCCCCTGAACAGCTGTGTGTATAAATTCCAAATATGTGTCCTCATAACGGATTTGTGCTTACCAAAATATCCTGTGTTTTTATAAACAAATTGTTGTATTTAATATTTTATCTAATTAACTATACAGCACGATGTGTAACTCACTCACTGATCAGGTATACAAGTGTTTGGGCACTCCTAGACGGGCTAGGAAGTAGAAATTTGGCACGATGACAGGTCTCTGCCCCAAACCATGAGGAAAATTCACAAAAGTGACAATTTCGCATTTCAACATCCCCCCACAAAAAAGTATGTGTTTCTTGAAACGTCTGTTGCGGCATGTATTAAAATTTTACAATTATTTTTACGCTGCATTATTGTTTTTGATCAAAAGCTGGAACCGACGTAGTAGGCCTGTATATTAACCGCTTTGCCGTACCTCTTACCGTTTCCGAGACCACTCTTACCGTTATCACCTGGGGACCGAGCTTTGCTCGAATAAAGTCATTAGTATACTCTGAGAGCAGAGTTTTGTCACTACCGTTCATCCAAATCAAATGTTGCAGTCTATTTGCAGCCAATTAAAATTGGCTAAAAATAAAGTTATAAAAAGTCCTCATAACTTTAGAACGGATCAAGATTTTTAGAAACTAATTGCGGCATTGTAATTAGCGTAAAATTCTAGTTTGAAACAATGGGTCACAACCCTACCTTTACATTTGAAAAAAAACTTTGTATCCAATAATGGCGGATCCAAGATTGCGCCCAAAAATGTATACCCAGTCAAAACGAAGTACTTACTACACTACAATGATCTGACGTGGTCCGAAGTTGATATCTTAAAAAATGTAGAAAACATTTGGGTTTTCTTTTCCGAAATTTGTTTGGCTCTTCTACCCGACCGATTTTCATTATTTAGGTCTCAAATTGAAGGTATGCACGCACAGATTTCACATCAAGTATCAACATATATATATATATCTACATTCCTACTCGGCTTATACGTAAACGAAATTTGCTCCCCATATATTTCTTATGGGAGTACAATTTGGTTTTTCTTTTCCGAGTTAGTTTGGCTCTTCTACCCGACCGATTTTCATGATTTAGGTCTCAAATTGAAGGTATGCACGCACAGATTTCCCATCAAGCATCGGCATATATCTATCTACAGTCCCACTCGACTTATACGTAGGCGAAATTTGCTCCCCATGTATTTCTTAAGGGAGTTAAACCTGGTTTTCTTTTCCGGGTTCGTTTGGCTCTTCTACCCGACCGATTTTCATGATCGAGGCCTCAAATTGAAGGTAAGCACAAACAAACTTCCTATCAAACATCGGCATATATTTTTCTGCAGTCTCACTCGGCTTATATGTAAACGAAATTTGCTCGTAAAAGTTTAATTATTTTTTGGATATGATATTTATTTCAACGCTGCGGAGCAGCATGGGTCGGGGTAGCGGATTTCTACCCCCGGATATTTACCCCCATGAAAAAACGCCTACGTCATTTTGACGTCACGAGGGGTGGGGCCTATACACGGTCGAGAAATAGCCCGCGACTGGAAATTTACCCCCAATATATTAATAAATAATCAACATGTAATTGTTTTATTATAAAGTGATTTGCCACAGCAAGGAAATCTACCCCCGGACATTTACCCCCGGATATCTACCCCCGGAAATCTACCCCCGGACAACTACCCCCAGACATATACCCCCGGACATCTACCCCCGGACATCTACCCCCAGACATCTACCCCCTGACATCTACCCCCGGACATCTACCCCCGGAAATCAACGGCTCTTCGGTTAAGCATTGTCTTGTAATATCCAGTATAAAGCATGCGATATGTCATTGTCTTGTTTACCATTATCTATCTTCCTAATTCAATAATCTGTAACAGTCCTTTTTCACCCGACCTACTTCAACGATTGTTACGATTGAGGTGTCATA